CACTGTAAATGTTTTAATTTAATATTTCAGAAACAACTCGACCATCTAGACAGAGAAGAAAAAGAAAATCATCTTCAACCCCTAATGCATCTACTCCAACTTCATCTGGTAATAGCTCATCAAAGAAGAAATCACCAAATACTGCAGCAAACTTCCCTCTAGCCAGCCAAGATGTCATGGTTGTGGGTGAACCTTCACTAATGGGAGGGGAATTTGGAGATGAAGATGAACGGCTAATTACACGGTAATTTGAACAAAAATTGCTTTAGAATAAGTTTGCTGTGTTCTTGCACTAATTTGTTTAAWTTTTTTAATTTTGTTTCTATGCTCTAAATTGATCTTTCTTACACAAATCTTGGCGACATCTTGTTATGATGCTGCTTCAAAATGATGCACATTTTCACATTTTTATAACACTGACAATTTTAAAAAGAAATTGATTGATAAATATTGCATTAGTCCTATCTTTACAATCTATTTGATTACATGAAAGACCTTTGAATTCCTGCTAAAACATTGTTGCCACTCACTTGCACAAAGGTTGAATGGCGATATCCATTGGGTGAATAGAGATTAAGCACATGAAAGTTATCCAAACATAAATCTATGAGATAGACAACTTTATGAACCACCTTTCATACAACTGGTCCCAGATAATAATCATAATTATCCATTGGATAAAAATTTATTCAAACTTTGTCTAGTAGGTAACTCTGTCCTCCCTTGGTACAACCAGGATTTGATGGGTAATTTGAACTAGTCACATGATCACCTAAATCAAGCAGATATGTCAAATAATTGGGAATGACAAAAGCTCAAATTAAGCAAAGCTGCAATTTCTTSTTTTAMTATCAAAACCTTTGCTAAATGTTTGTAAACCTGCTCTTTCCATTTCTGGATGCTAGTCATGGSAGAGCTGGTCATGTGACCAAACATAAAATGGAAGGGTGGGATTAGATTCTTAACACTTTTAAAGGAATTGTCACTAGAAAAAGCAAGAAAGAGTATGTTATAAATTATTAAAGAAACCTTTTAGAAGAATTTTCTAAGTCATTGACACAGAGCAGTATTTATTAGATGCCTCATTTATTTCCTTACACATTCAAACACATTTTAAATGACAATAGTTATGCAGAAAGATAAATTACACTATTAKTTTTTCATCGGTTTCTAAGGCAACACTGCATGTAGTGGTCATTTGATTAAATTCCCATGAAATTGGTCAGACTTGCAATGTTTTAACCAAACAGTTGACCTACAGTAAACACATTGTATTGTAATGTGCATGGAAAAGATGCCAGCTACAAGGAATTTATCACTATACAATAAATTATGTTGAAGTATGGATTCTAGAGGAATGTTAGGATGAGATGTGCTGCATGTGATTGATAGTGAAATGGATTTAATGTGACATGATATTTTAAACCAAATTAAAGTCTAAACAAAAAAAGTAATGTTAAACTGCAATTATCTTTAAAAAAACCCTATGAGATAATGCATGTCTTTAGAAAAGTGCTATCTTCCCCAAAGACTGTTTATGGGCGATGTCACGCCATGCTAATCGGTTTAATTGTTGATAAAGCGATAAATACCAAAACTGAAACCAAGTCATGTGYTTTGTTGTTGTCTGTCTGTCTGTGTAATTTGATCTGTCAAATTTGTTTATTTGTTGAGTTTGTAAACATGCTTAAAAGCTTAAATGACTCAAAATTCAAGTATTTAGTTATCAAGGAAAATCTATGCTGATAAAATACAAATACAAGCATTCCAATGTTTTCCAAAATATTGTTGTGAATTAAAGGAGTAAAATTGTTTGACTTTGAGATATTTACCCWTGAATGCTGTCAATATCGTGGTTTTTCTTCATTTCATTATAAATTGTGTGAACTGATCATTCTGTTTTGCTGGCCAACGTAAAAAACAATGATTCAGTTATTCAGACAATAATCTCTGTTCTCACACTGTTAGGCTGACAGATCTGTGAGTAAAGAGGGAGCAGTGAGAGTAAGTACAAATCTTTCTGACATGTTTAATTTGTATTGAAAACAAACAACACTAAATTAATCATTTATTTAACCCTAACATTAATCCTGAAGTATAATAATAATAATGACCTAATCCATGTGATCACTTGATAACAGAATCTCAGCATTGTAAGTTGCCGCCTTATCTAAATTTACCAGTTGATACTGAGAATGTATTTCAAATCATTTTCTATTATTTTCTTTTTCCTAAATGATAACTACATGCAGATTTTGCCACTTTGCACCAGATTTTGCACTGGTAAATATTTGCCATCATGTGATCACATTCTTCACCAACTAATACTAACCATAGCTTTATCTTTTAGTAATTATSACTTATTTACTAGTGTTTTACTCTTTCTGAAAAACCGCAGTCATTTTGAGCAAATWTTATTGTCTGCTAGAGAATAGCTGAAAACGGTGTTTTGTGATTAAATCTCGTTGCAAACTACCAATGTTATGCATCACTAACCATGTTATATGTATATACAGCTTAGTGGAACTTTAGGCTGAATACTTGCAATAAGTTGAACCGTGTTGCCGGATCTCTGAGTGCCGGCTTTAGGGGAGGGTTGGGATGGTAATGCCGGTGCCCATCATCTCTCGCCTGGAGCCTCCAAGTAAAACATGCCAGCTACAGAATCAATTCCAAAAAGACGCTCGTCCGGTTGAATAGATATTTAGACAATAGTTTTAACTTAAAAGTCTTAGAAGTCATCCATTTGAAATTGAATACTTGTGCACCGTTAGTCGAGCTATTGCTTTTGTCTATCATAAGAACGGGTTCTAGCTCCCTCAAGATAGCGAACCCAACATCAGACTTGAGTTTGTAAATTGATCACTTGTTGAACTTCACTCACCTTTTCTCCCATCATCATACAAGAGAATTTTATCTGATTCAAATTCTGTTTGTCAGTGACAGTGGCTAACGATTCCAAATTTTCTAGTAGCGATGATGTTATTACTATGTGTTTCAAATTTGCAAACTTGTTTTGATTTTTTTTWAATAAGAATTTGTATACAGACTTTGCAGGGTTGTTGGTTTATATAGACCTGCTCTTGTTTGGGTGTCTTTCAAATGTTATTTTTTTTGTTAGGGGAAGTATAAACAGCCACATTGGGGCAGATTGTTAACTCACATTCTTTATTTTTTTTTGTCTCAAGGCTTTTCCACTCCACAATGTTGCGAAGTGGTTATTAGAATTGACGCAAACAGTTTGCTGTATTTTAGTACTTTTAGAGCTGTAATAAAATTTAAGGGATCACTCGATTTTGGGGATAAGAGATTAAATTTGAAACCAAATTTAGGATACAAAAATGGGATAACCACGTGACACAGAATGRAACGAAATATGAAATTATTCATTAGTCATTATTGTGTGTTAGTGATTTTAATTAAGGTTTTGTTGGGCGTTTACGAGCCGATAAACGGTCCTCACAAATTATTTTGCAAATTATGACATTGTATTTTTTGGTGCGAAGAGTGTTAGTAAAGGAAAATTCAGTTGCTCGCCGTTAGGTGGGAGTGAATTTGAAGACTTGCGAGGGCGGTACTTCAGATAGATAGATGCACTAACACGTAGTCGAGGCATTTCCTAAGGTTAGTAGACATASTCTTAGACTTGTAGTATAGTTTAATATATTGTATAGTCTGACTTAGTGGCAATAAATAGTCAAATTGACTGCTTAGATTCCATACCTCAAGTGTTTTTCAGAAAGGGTAAAAATGTTTATTGTGGTTCTTTATGCTGAAAGTTATCCTATAATGTTGTTTTAGCCTTGAAAATGTCCAGTTTGATGCAGCCAATGGTTTAAGAGAAGATCGGGAGTGTGGTGGTAGTAGTCCTTTGAGAGGAAGTCCCCATAATAGAATATGGCCATCAGATTGTAAGAAACCCAAGACAGAGAACTGCTCAAGTGAATAACAACTGTAGTGGTCTTTACTGCATCAAGCCTAAAGCTCCGTTTTCGAGAAATGTTTTTCATGCAAACGATGACAACCGTGTACATCTACGACCACTGGTTGTTCAAGTATTGCTGAYGGAGCAGAGAAAATAATGACTGTCTTTACTGACTCTAAACTAATGAACAAATATATCACAAGAATGGTTTATTTTGACAAATATAAGGACTTGTAGGCTTTGTTCAGTTTATAATCATTGGTCAATTAGTGTCACAATGTTTTATTGTGCTGTAAATGTGGCTTGTGTTAAATATAAATATCCTATCAACATGTAGAATTAAACTATCCACTCTTTCTTGGAAGCTTTTTTCACGCAGTAGTCCATGTCATAGTGAATTTTAATGTTAGCAAATACACCTCGAACTAAAAAACATAGTCTGGCTTCGTGAAGGACTACAACATCAAAGCTAACACCGAAAGGGAGCATGGGAAAGGAAACACGAGTAAAACATTGCTTTAGTGCTAAAAGATTACCAGAACTGAATAATAAACCGTCACGAGAGACGATTCGTGTTTCTAAGCACTTAAAATCCCMTTCTGTGTTAGCTTTGATACTAGAGAGTTTTAGATTCGCGTCCGGGATTCGCGTTTACGGTGAACGCCAAACGTCAAAACTGATCACGTGATCACTGTTTTTCTGTAATAACGACCCGTTCTTTCGCGGCGATTGTGTATAAAATAGATCATTTTTCGTGCATAAGCGMATCACTATTCCTTTCGAAGCGTTTTTACGTTTGTTTGAAATTTTGAGACAAATCATAAAAACCAATTTGACGTTTGGCGTTTGCAGTGAACGTGAATCTAAAACTCTCTACTATCGCCTTTTAGCGACCCSACAACGTTTTTTTATTAAATGAGGTGCATGAATATTGAATGACGCCGAAAAACAACTTCACAAAGCTTATCCTGCGTCCTGCCTCTATAGTCTCTGTTTTTGGCGGATCACTGTTTATTAAATCGAGAGAAGGCGGTTAACAATTGTTTTCGTCTATAGCTCCCGACGGCTGAAATAATGAATGAAGCTTGAATATGGTAAAAATGAGAAGAAAAAACCAAGGCTCCATTTGCTTAATGATAAGACGAGTATGAAAGTACTTGACTTATTAAAAACAAATGTTCGATTTAGTGTGCTCTTTCTTGTCGCACGCCCGTTTTCATCCTCCCTTAGTAAGGATTGGCGAACATTTCGTGCTCTCTTTTGTGTTTGTAAAGTCTTTGCGCGAGAGAATCTGTTGTCAAATAAAGCAGCGGTTTTTCGCTATGAATTCGAAACAGGAGTATCGCAAGTCCTTGCAGTCAAAGCAAAAGACTTAAAGCGTAAGGGAAAAGGAAACAAGCCTAATGCCTCAGATGCTTTGAGTGAAGAAGATACAGTAAACTCTCTCGTAAGCGACCACCTCGGGATCAGGAAAAAGTGGTCGCTTACGAGAGATGGTCGCTTACGAGAACGTTAGCACAGGAAACCCAAACAATAATCATAACACAGGAGTCCCATTAGTTCAAAACACGTTCGTATTTCAGCGTGTAAAATCTTTGTACAATGGTACTGCTTCCATGCCAGTCCGCAAATTCTTGAAGTTGATTTTAATGTCCTAATTCTATTGTTTTCAATAGAATTAGGATATTATAGTGTATTTGATAGTCAATAGT